TTGTTAATTCAATTTAAAGGCACTTACTAAATTGTGCATTGCAGTAGCAAAACAATGTTTCACTACCATGTAACATATGCATATATATATATATGTATATATATAAAGTTAGGAAGTGATACTTGATATTGAAACACTGCAGTGTTTCTTGTTAAATGTCTTCTGGCACTTAAGCTAAAGAAAGGATTTGCCCATGTCTGTAAATGAGAGTGTTCATAAAATGCTGCCATAGTCACTAATAATACCCAATAAAAAGCAAGTGTTTCTAGACTAGTTATTATAGAAAGCACCCACATCAAGCAGCTTGACTGGAAGAAGGTCTGCTGTTACTCTGTTATGGAGGAATTATATAAAGTAGCCCAGCTGGGAAGGATGCATTAACCACTTTTGCTGACAAAACCATACAATTGTGATAAAGATCTAAGAGGATGAAGAAATATAAAATAATTCCTGCTCTTTTGTAGATTGTGGTATCCGAATGCAGGATAGGAAAATGGAGAATAGTGTCAGTGATTCTAGCAAGGATTAATTTAGGGAATTCAGGCTTCTTTGGGTGTTGGATTGTAAGACTGCTTTTCATACTGTGAATTGTCCCAAGGTACAACTAATCATGTATTTATTGAGATTTATTGAGTTAGTCCTAACTTGGACCAGCATCTCTGTCCTGTTAGCCTCGCAGACATGTGTGTCTGCAGTGACATAAAAGGAGCCTGCAGAAAGAAAGCAAAGGTGAGAGAGGAAGACAGGTTGGCTTCTTTTGATTGCAATTCTGGCTCAAGTGTCACCAAAGCATAGACCTATCTTAGGACTTGTTGAATTGTATTAAAATCCTTGTTTTTAGCTGATGCAAGCATGCTCTGCTATAAACACTCTTGGCTGGTTCAGACTTGTTCACAATGTGCTGATGGGCTAATGTTTTATGATGGGCTCTGTGCCAGATTAGGCATTGTCAGATTGCCCCCAGCCGCACAAAATTGGTGCAGCTCTGTATCGAATTCTGGCTAATTCATGAGAAATGCGTTTGTGTCCACAGCATTCAGCAGCTACAGATGTGGCACAGTGACTGGATGACCACCTCAATCTTCTGTGAGTGGCTCTGCTGCAGCCAGCAGGAGTAAATACAGAGGCACAGTGGCAGTCAGAGTCCATGAAAACTGGTTACTGGACTCCAGCCTGCAGAGCAGTAAAGCTTCCTCTTCCAGGCTTTTCAGGCATGAGGAGCCAGTTTGACTGGGCTTCATCTTCAGTTACTCCATGTTCACCATTTGCTGCAGCCCCAGAGTTTGGAAATGAAGAAGGGGCAAGTGAACCTATGCTTAACTAATGGCCAGTTAGGCACCAAAGCAACCTTCAGGGTAAGCTGGAAAAGCACTGAAGCCATCCCACTGGAAGCTGGGTCAACTGCTGCTGCCATACCTGCTGCAGGCTTGAAGGAACATCCCAATGTGCTTTACTGTGATGAAGAGGATGGAAGAGAAAGGCATTGTCTGTCATCTGAAGATCAGAATTTGTTCTCCTTTGTAGTTACTGCCCAGCTGCTTTGCGCTTCCCTCACAGATGCAAGGGGGGGCCCTAAAATTCAACTGTTGAGATGGAAACATGTTTAACGCTATATTATGAAAAAGACATGGTAAAAAATTCCAATATAGACAGTCAATTTTCATGCCCGGGGATTGCAGTGTATATCTGCCATTGAAGCCATTAAAAATCTGCACATTTCAAGGAAGAATTTGGGCCTTTGACACAATTTCCTCTTTTTCTTTGCGAGCCAACCATTTTCTGTAGTAACAGAAAGTATTACAAGAATAAATGTAATAGATTTAGGCATTAAAATGAACAACAGTCCTTGATCTATTTGCTGAAGATTAGAGACAGGAGACGTGAAAGCTGTTATTGACTTGAAGAAACATGGGTATTTTCTGTAACTGGCATTACAGCTTTGCATATATGACAAAATATGAAGGAGATGGCTAGGGAGGTGTCCAGATCCTTTCATGATGTGAAGTGATTGTTGTGCATGTGGTGACCATAATCAAGTGTCCTGAAACATACTTGCCACGCACAAACAGCTGCCTCCCATTCCAGAGGGCTCAAAACTTTGGTGAATAATTGCCACATTTATCATGGAAATTTTAAGCCTGCTTCCTTTATTACCTAGCTGCTGTATGAATGAAAATGGTGGTAAATGAATGAAACACTTCCTCCATCCCTCCCCGTCAACACACAACCCTTAAATTTCGATATTCTTGTGGATTGGAGCAATAAAAATATGCATGGAAAGAAACTTTAATTCCTCAGAAAAGGAAATAATTCTCTCCCTTTTTCTTGCCTCTCTTCAAATGATGAGGAGGTCTAAATATGTTTCCAGTCCATTACTTTAGAAATGAAATGGAGCCTGCCTTCCACTGCTTTTGCCTATCCTCCACTCTGCATTGAGGAGCACCTGGCTCAGTCCAGGAGAGTTAGAGCTCTCAGTGGCCTTCTGCACATCTGGGACTTGTCCCGTAACAGCTGAAAATATAATGGCAGTGCTGATGATGCGTCAGCTTTACAGGAGCTTGCTTAGGAGCTCCCAACTCAAGGTAGACTCTCAACCTGGGCTACCAGCATCATATAAATTGGAGTGAAACCTTTAGAAACCTTAATATCTAAAGAATAGGTGCTTATTTTCTTGGGATGCAGCACGTATCTTCAGATCTGCTCGCCTCATTTGTGAAAAATGAAAATGCTGCATTTTTGGCTGTTGAGTGTAGTGCAACAGCAAAGCCAAGGGACTTTGCCTGTAAATACTAGCCACAACTAGCTAGGGTGCGGTTTCCAATGATTTAAATACTTACAGAATGCCAGCAGAGGATGAAACAAGGAAACAGAGGGAAATAAAGGACTTGTTTATTTTGTTTGCTTTAATCTCTGTGGAACTCTTAAATGTACAGAGTTGTCTCCTCAAAGAGATATTTGGAAATAACTGCATGGTGATGAGAAGTGAGGGGAGGATTCTTACTTTTTCTTGGTGTTGTTCAAAAGGTTTGAATTACTATAAATTCTTTTCCAACACTTATTCAGACCTAATAAATTTCCTGGGCTGTAGAAATGGCCAGCACCCACAACTCCAAAAGGAAAAGCTCTTCTCAAAACACTCAAGCAGATAATTTCCTGAAGAGCCTGAGCAGGCTGTGCAGACTGCTTCTGCTATGCTGTTGTACTGTTCCTCTTTCCTACAGAATTATCCCATGACAAACATGTCATGCTTCCTTGATGGTACAACCTATACGGCAGCTGTACCAAATCATGTTTGGCCATGGTGCTTATCTGGTGCTACGGGTGGCTTTTCTTGTCTTTATTTCCCATGATTGCTCTTAGCATCTCTGAACTTAAGCTAGTCCAAGCATTAAATTTAGCCCGATGGATTTACAAAATTAGAATACACCGCAAGGATGAATGAATTTTGCTTAAAATACAGCAAATCATTTTTTTTTCTCATTACAGAACATGATGGTGGCAAAAAGACAGTGGTTTTCTCTTCTGTAAGACTTCCTGTAAAGAAAGTCTTGCCCTAGTCATATCTTGGTCTCTTCCCCTTTTCTCTTTTTGTCAGCATGGCACACCTGCACTAGGTATTTGCGTTTTTTATTCAGAAAGGGTGACAGGGGACCGCAAGGAACTACATTATCTTCTAAGAAATCTCCAAATTTTATCAGATCTTACGCTCCATCATGGATACTCTTTTCATGCTCTATTTTGACAGTTAGGCTGTCTAATTTTTACTTAAGATTGAATTTGCTGCAATTCTTGGGCATCTAGCACTTGAAGCTGCTGTTGTGAGATGGGATGGAGGTAGAGAACAGAGACACCCTCTATTCCTTTTTATAAATTCCTATTCCTTGTGAAATTCTCAAATTTGTGCTTCTGAGAAGAGTAACCCATTGTATACTCCAGGGTACCATTCACAGAGTGTTGCAATGTAGATACATTCATACAGCTAAAAATGGAGATTTGATCCTGCTCTTCATGGGGGTGAGGGGAAAGGGTCCAGAGAGGTGGTAGCTTTACCATGTCTCAGGGTGTTTGAATACTGTGAGTAGAAAGTAATATAATATATATTTGAGAATGCAACCGCTTACCATCGTCTTTTCATATAAATTCCAGATTATGGCCAGATTGATTCACTGTTGACATAAGCAGATGCAAATCTAATGAGGTCACCGCAGTTACTTCTACTTAGGCCAGAGGTGAATTTGTCCCTATTTTTGGAATATGCTCGTCTCATGCTACAGAACTGATGCACTGTATCATGTCAAAATAATTTTCAACGATGGCTCCGTGCCATTGGCGGACTGACATAAGGCATCATGTCAAACATCTGCCCGGTAGCGTTTCCCTTCTGCTTTTTGACATGATATATCGTGCCCCATTTTTGCATCTTAAGGCATACAAAAGGAATAGCCGCAGGATCTGAAATAATGAGAAATGTGCACTAATTGAGTATTGGAGCCCTGGCATCCTGTAGAACTGTTCTGTCTCTTTTAGGATGTCCATCAAGCTGCTTGCCGTATGAGCGTCAGTGGAGAATGTTTGCTAATGTACTCCCACCTCAGAACATTGCCCTGACATATTGAATGATAAATTATTTGTTATTTTGATCTGCTTTTGCTTTAAGGACCAATAGTGTATTTTCTTCACAAACTGATTTATCACTGCTAAGAGAAGTTGCTCCTATCTGTGACTTTGCAGGGACTTGCTAGTATTTATTAAGTGTATAAATTAGCATCGGGTCTTTCTATTAGCACTGTGTCTTTTTTTTTCTTTTTCTTTTTTTTTTTTAATCCCTACTTCAGCCAGAACGGTGCTAGACAACATCTTCCCTAAAACAGGAAACGTGTTTCCCAATCCTCGGCAGCGAGCAGCACAGCTTCTTCCCTGAGAAGATCTGTGAGGGTGGATAGCAGCCAGTTGTCCAAATGCAAGGGGGCCGCGTGCCAGGAGACTGAGCGATCGTCGGAATGCCGGAACGGAGCTGTGCCTTACGCTCCGCTGCGAAAACGGCCAGGTCGGGATCAGGCGTGCATCCAGGAACTGCGAGCTTCCGAAGGGGGTACTTCTTCCTGAGCAGCGACAGCCTCCGGCTCCTGCAAATTTCTTCTTGGTGCCATGGTAGGAAATGAGGGGAAAGAAATTTCTGAAATTAATAGGGCCAGGCTCAACTGGAGATCTGTAGAAAGCAATCAGCACTTGGATTTTCTGTTCCCCCCAAGAAACTGTTCAGAAGCTCAGGCGCTCGGTATAGCAAAGCGAGCATTGTGCATAGGACACCCTTGCTGGGACTTCTGCCTGGTTGCAGAGGTTGATGCATAGACCAAATCCACTGAGCCAGCTGCAGAAATGCAACCGCTTGAGAACAAATTATCAAAGCTCTTAAAAAAAAGATATATAGTTACCTTAAAATCTGCTTGCCCTAAACTACAAGATCAAAATGCGTCTACAGACGCTTTTTTTTTTTTTTTTTTTTTTTAAGCTTTGCAGGCAAATGTTTTGGAGAAATTCTTTCTATAAAGAGGGATTCCTACAGGGGTCAGACAAAATTGTTTTAACCTTGTGTATTCCTCTAACTGTTCTGGCAAAGAGGGTGTGCACGTGAAAATATATTTAGAAAGGGAAAAGGGGATGGGAAGGAGCATGAATTACGGATTTTTTTGAAACGTTTCCTCAAGATCTTGACTGTCTAATAAATGCAGGTATATATATATATTTTTTTTTCTGGAAAGGAGACTCAAAGTAATTCATTTTAGGCAAAACAAGAAGAAAAGAGGAACAAATGGGTGGAGGAGTTTGAAGGCTCATAAGTGGATCACGCTAGCAAGCCATCCGCTTAGTCCTTTCCATGCGAGGAATAGTATCGCCTGCAAATGCTGGGCAGCAATAAGGCTGCTCCCCAGCAAATATGTGTGTACAGAGGTAGGCCATGAATTTATTTGAGTAGGACTCGAGCCATTTCAACCAGATCCTGCTTTTCCGCATATTTTTCAAATGGAGCTATGCTGATATTGATTTTTTCTTTAAGTTTGCGTATCGGCAGTGGGGAGGAAGGGGGTTGTGGTCAGTGCACCCAGAATGCTCCAAACTGCCTTGGGTTTCTCCTTCCTCCTGGCTGAGTGTCCAGGCAGCGCTGGGATCCCTCAAGATGCAGAGGGCTGAGGATGCCTATGGCACTCAATACGAAAAAGTTGTCGGCTCCCCAAGCGCTGCGTTTCCAGCGCGAGCGAAGCTCACGGAAGCGAAAGCAACACCCGAAACGCTTCTCATTCCCAACGCGCTGCCAAAAGCACGAGAGGGGGGCAAAAAAAGAAAAGAAAACGGGGGAAAATGCGGAGGTGGCGGGGAGGAGGGCAGCAACGCGGCGCGGGGCAAACCCGCCCCGGGGGCCGGAGAGCAGCGC